AAGAGAAGAGAAGAGAAGAGAAGAGAAGAGAAGAGAAGAGAAGAGAAGAGAAGAGAAGAGAAGAGAAGAGAAGAGAAGAGAAAAAGAAGAAATACAAATACAAGGTTCTGGAACTTTTTTTTTTTTTTGGCAGAACTGGGGATTGAACTCAGACCCTTTGTGCTTGCCAGGCAAGTGCTTTTTCTACTGAGCTATCTCCCCGGCCCCAGGAACTAACCTTTTCTGCATTATTGAACTTCACCAAAATTTCTTTTAATAGGAAGTAGATGTATGTGATACAAAACCTAGAGGACAAAGGGCACACACACACAGAGCACCTTCTGTGCCTCCTTTCAGAGTCACACTGCAGCTAGTGGGTAGCAGAAACAGAATCCCTTAGGGGGGTTTCTTGTAAGGTGGAGGGTCGGTCAGGGACAGATGACTTTAGGATGTGGGTTCTGCACATCACCGTCTGGGCCCGGGCCCACACGACCACACGTGGTGATCACTAGCTGCAGGCTGCCGGGCTTGGAGCCCAGCAGCAGACCCCTGCCAGGGGCCAGCGGCCGGGCTCCTCGAGCTGTGAGCTGCGGAGGAGAGCAGGCATTCTTTATTCCCCTCCCAGGCTGTCCTTCAGCACACACAAAGCAAAACTGGCTGGGATTAGTGGCTGCTCCAAATATCTACATTTTAAATCTCCCCTTAGCTGCAGTTTCTATGACTACCAGGCCTCCTAGTAACAAGGCAGCTGAGTATTAATGCTGGCCTCTGCCTGCTGACCCTCAGGAGAAAGACAGCAGACAGCAGAACACCCAAGGCAGAGTCAGGCAGTAGCAATTAGGCTACAGTTAACAGTATCTCAAAGAAGGGGGAGCAAAACAGACTTGTGGGGTTTGTAAATGAGGCCCCAGTGGAGCTCCTCACTCCAAGAACAGCTTCTCCTAACAATGGCCGACTCAACAGTGTGAACCTGTAGGGGGGCAGTCACAGGGATCATGGGCCTTGTCAGCGTCTGACATGGGAGAACCCCCCATGCCCCCCGGGGCAAGGACAGGCATGTTCCTGGGGATTAAGGGCTGAAGGAAGCACAGTGCTCACCCCATGCATGGCTGCAGGCAGTGTGCATTTCCCAGGGCAGTGGTGGTTAAGCTGCACACATTGGCCTGGGCCTGCTCAGTGTTCTGTCAGCATCACTGCCCTATGGCAGCAGACGTAGCTCTGCTCCCCTAACCCCGAGGCAGCCAGTGGCAGAACACTTGCCTAGCAGCCCTGCAGCCCTGGGTTGGTCCCCAACTCCACTAAAACAGAAAAGTAACTACCACCAGCACCACCACAAAACAACTTCAAGTGTGACTAACTTCTCTGGAATATGTGTTCCCTCAATAGTGCCGAAGAGAAGTTTGCCTTTATTATTCCTGCGGTACTGGGGACTGAACCCAGAGCCCTCACGCTATGTTCCTAGTCTTCTTTTGAGATAGGGTTTGGCTAAAAGTGGCCCAGGCAGATCTCAAACTTTGCTGCTTCTGCCTAAACCTGAAGAGTGCTGGGAATAGAGTTACGTGTCACTGTGTCTGACCTCTTTTTTTTTTCCCAACTAAGAAATTATGCCATCTTTTAATATATCATAGTTTCATGCTTCCAAGCTTTAAAAAGGTTCCTGCTGTACACCTTTTTATTGTTAATTCTTATTATTCATAGTTTTCTCCAACAGCAAATAGTACATACTCATGATAAAAATTATTTTAAAAAAAGGACTGAAGAAAATTAATACAACCTATAATGCCAAATAATTCCAGATGTACTTTCTTTTTTTTTTTTGCGGAACCAGGGATTGAACTTAGGCTCTCGCACTTGCCATGCAAGTGCTTATTCTACTGAGCCATCTCCCCAACCCCAAGATGTACTTTTACATGTAACTTATTTTGAGCTGGGTATTGTGGTGTTTGCCTGTAATCGCAACTACTTGGGAAGCTGAGGAAAGAATATCTCAAGTTTCAGGCCAGCCTGGGAAACACACATATATGTGTGGGTATATATTTTATACACACACACACACACACACACACACACACACACACACACAGAGCCCAGAGTGTGGACCAGTCATAGAGCACTTACAGATGCTAGATTCAATCTCCAGGACCACAAGAAAGTGAAAGAAATTTTAACAAATTCTGTGTGATTTACTGTCACAAGAGTGATGCTGGAAGGACATTTTCTTTCTTTCTTTCTTTCTTTCTTTCTTTCTTTCTTTCTTTCTTTCTTT